ATTTTTTAATTTATTGATTGATTGATGCAGAGAGCTAAGTGAGCAATATAGACAGAAGACAATGTGAGAGTTCAGGGAAGGTTTTATTGAAATCATGGAACCTGAGTGGGCCCTATAAAACAAGTCTTTTTTTTTTTCTCAATTTTATTCTGATTTTGTTTTTTCGTTTTGAGACAGAGTTTTGCTGTGTTGCCCTCAGTAGAGTGCTGTGACATCATAGCTCACAGTAACCTCAAATTCTTGGGCTTAAGCGATTCTCTTCCCTCCTGAGTAGTTGGGACTATAGGCACTTGCCACAACACCCGGCTATTTTTTGTCGCAGTTGTCATTGTTTAGCAGGCTTGGGTGGGTTTGAACCCACCAGCCCCAGTGCATGTGGCCAGCGCCCTAACCACTGAGCTATGTGTGCTGAGCCATTTTTTAAAAAACTCAGAGAAGGGCTTGGTGCCTGTAGCACTTTGGTTATGGCACCAGCCACATGCACCGAAGGTGGCGGGTTGGAACCCTGTGTGGGCCAGCTAAACAATTGCAACAAAAAGCCAGCCAGGTGTTGTGGCAGGCACCTGTAGTCCCAGCTACTTGGGAGTCTGAATCAAGAGAATTACTTAAACCCAAGAGTCTGAGGTTGCTGTGAGCTATGACATCACAGTACTCTACTGAGGGAGACATAGTGAGACTCTGTCTCAACAAATAAATAAATACTCAAAGAAGAGTTAAGAAACAAATAATCTTACTTTCAGAGATAACCATCATTGGTTTTATTTTATATTTTTTGATATTTTGGAGAGGGAAGGAACAAGGTGGGACAGATTGGGTGGAAGTAAGACTTCTTTGAATAGATCTTATTATATAATTTTGACTGAAATATAAACAACTAATATAGCCAAAAATTAAGTTAAAATCAATTATAAAACATCTAAAACAAAAAAAAGCATGAACCTGACTTTATTACAAGTTGGTAAATTAAACACACAGGAGAAGAGAATTCTTTTAAGTGGCCTAGTATTTTGTGTGTGCAGGGGGATTAGTTTCTCACGGCTGCCATGACAGTGTACCACAAACTTGGTGACATAAAGAAATTTATTTTCTCACAGTACTGGAGAACTTCCACAGGATGGAAGTGCCAGAAACCCC